CTTCTGTAGCCGCATCCTGAGCATGGTGAATGCAGATGACGTCAATGCCATCATCCTGGCCCAGAAGAATATGTGAGTGGTGGCTGTGGGTTTGGGGCATGGGAAGGAATCCACTTACTGGCCCACTTTCTTGTCCTGCCCACCCCTAACCCAGGCCCACACTGGTGATAAAATGAAGGAAATGAGCAAATCTGTTGGCTGGCTTCAAAGTAAATTCCTTCCTGGCCTGGAGGCGAGGCCTGGCACAGGAAACAGGGCTTTGGGAAAATTTTGCAGCTGTGGATGGTTTGGCAAGGGCCACAGGGGCTCCCATCCCAAGGCCTAGGGTAGGGAAAGTTGAGGGACTACAGGAGACTGCATGGGGTTTTAAGGAGCTGGGTGGCTGGCTTTCTGTTGGGGGCCTGGTTTTCCAGCACCCAGGCTGTATCTGCATAGTACCTGGGGTCTCTTGTAGGGTTTGTGAAGTCTCTTTGTTCTCATTGGGACTTGGCACTTTGGCCACTGAAACCTCACCCTAATTCCCGCCTGCCCTGTGGGGAAGAAAGACTAAAACAATTTTGGAGAGGAAGCACAGCCTCCTGGAACTTCATTTTTTGTTTATTTTTTGAGATATAGTCTCTGTTGCCTACAGCTAATGCGGTAGCGTCAGCCTAGCTCACAGCAACCTCAGACTCCTGGGTTCAAGTGATCCTCCTATACCTCAAATTCCCGAGTAGCTGGGACTACAGGTGTACACCACAACACCCAGCTAATTTTTCTATTTTTAGTAGAGATGGGATTCACTCTTGTTCAGGCTGTTCTCCAAGTCCTGTGCTCACGGGATCCTCCTGCTTTGGCCTCCCAGAGTGCTAGGATTATAGGTGTGAGGCACTGCACTCTACCATTTTTTGTAGCTTTTTCCACCCTCTGTTGATGATACAACACAGATCTAATTTCCTCACCTTTTTTTTTAAGAGACAGAGTCTCACTTTGTCACCCTTGGTAGAGTGCTGTGGTGTCACAGCTCACAGCAACCTCCAGTTCTTGGGCTTTAGGCAGTTTTCTTGCCTCAGTCTCCCAAGTAGCTGGGACTACAGGCGCCCCC